TGCATGGAGGAATTGACCAGCGCTCTGGGGCAGATAATTTCACCTTTTGAAGGGTCCACCTCCAACTTGCACGCCAACCAAAGCAATGCAAGGCCTTCCATCCTCTTCAACATTGGTGCTGCCACAGCTTTTGAGACTTTCGGCGCATAATTCCACCTTTTATACTTTTCATTCCTGGTGTTTGATGGCACCACTGCTCACCGCACCGTCGCTCCGCTTACAAGCACAATGGACTGATTCATTAACCTGCCTGACCGCCTCTATCACTCCAAGTTGCCTGTATGCTGCCAAGCAAAGCCAGCAGCGGCTTTGGCCAGCTCCTTTACCTGCCCCAAACCTATCTCCACACCCTCAATGCGGTCAGGGTCCACTCAGGTCTTCATGTGCGTGGAAACTCCAAAGCGAGCCACCCCTGGCTTGCTCTTGCCACCTTCTCCGCACCAGCATTTGCAGCCTCCACCATCCTCACCTCTGTTGCTGTCTGCTTGAGCTTGTTGCACCACTTTCTGTACTTGTTTGCGCTGCAAGCGCAATGTCAGAAGCAGGTCAATCTTATTAATAACGCGCAGACCCTTCTCTCAACTTCAATCTCTGCCCAAACTCACAACATGACAATGGGCTTTCCAGCTTGAAATTGGGCATTGGTTGACTGGTAAGGTGTTCCGTCTGCTGAGGTTGTTGTGCATGGTTGCTTGGCTATGTGACATTTCAAGCATCAATAACCACCATAAAGCAAGAGAAATTCTTTTGTAGGCTGCAAGCAAGTCTTTTGCTTGGCAATGCAGCTTTGACAGGGGAAATCCTTGTCCTCTACCAAGTAAATGCGCTTGCCACAAGTCTTGGCCTACAAAGCAAATGTCAGCATGCTAGCTAGCGCTTGTGCTTGCATTGACTCACCACCCTGGCGCCAAGGCCAAGGCCGCCTTGTGGTGCTGGAAAGTCATCCAACTTGCGTCAAGACATTCATGGAGATGCTGAGTTAGGAGGCAAGCCACTTGACTCGATGCAATGCGCACAGTCTTTGATTAAAGCTGGATAGACGTTGACCAAAGTCAGCATGGTTTTGCAGAGACAGCGCCTGTCAAGACGTTTGCAAGAGAGATTGCGCGCACGCTTAAACTGTCCACATGGACGCATCCCTCATCTTCCTAACACTATCACCTCCCCCCTGCGTGTTCACTGTACCTTGGACTCACCAAGAAGATCAGTTGGACAGACATCAGGACATGAAGGAGAATGTGCCAATGATAAATGCCAAAGGGGAAAAAGTCAATGACGTGACAAGAGCTGTAGGCAGGGACCGCCCACATTCTGTTGACACTGTCAGTGATGACAGAAGGCACCTCATGATAGTTGTGCAGGGCCAGCAACTGCTGAAAGAGGGCCAGGCCGGACCCACAACCTAGACCAAAGAGATCAAAGTTGTTGTCCCCTTGACACCCTTCACAAGTAATGTCCTCCATCAGGATCAGGCTGGACGCATCCACATCTGCATTGGCTGCCATCTTGTGCAATTCCTCCTTGGCAGAATTGACAATGATGTGGGTGCGTCCAGTCACAATCTGAATGGACTTGTAGCAACTGTTGAGCAAGGCAACTACATCTGCTTGCCACTCTTGCAATTGTTGGCACTCTCCACTTTCAACACCTGTTGCAAGAAAGAACGCTTGGACCGCCAAGTGATGTCCTGGAGCAAAGCGGTGGTGCAGACTGCCTGGAGCAGAGTTGACGACTGTTGGCCTGCAGATGCTGACGAGAAATCTTTCCCAATTTTGCTCCTGACAATAGTCTTCTGTGTCACCCTCACAATCAAGAATGACTTTTGAACCCATTGGGGGAGAGCCGGTCTTGCACAGGCTCACCCTGATTGCAGCTTGTGTCTTGCTACTTTTTTGTTTGGCTAGCCCTCGCGCGCACTGGCGCTGGCCAGCGTTGGACTGACTGGATCTCTTTGGTTCATTGAGCCATCTTTGCTTTGCCCGCCATTTGTCGCCCCTCGAGGTCACCTAGCTGATCTCCAACGTTTTGCACGCATTGCACGGGATGTTGGTTTGCCATCAAGTCTGGATTGTGTGTTTGTGTGTGCGTGTGCGTGTGTGATGGACCGCATGGCCTTGTCTTGGGTGATTACCAATCTACAGTCAGGTCTCAGGTTGCCATCTGCAGGGCCCGATGGTCATCTTGTTTCTTGCTTGTTTTGGCTTACGTTGACTGCTTATAGAAAGTGTGCGGTACAAATTGGCCCTCTTCGACTCGTGCGCAATGCTGTCTCTCCTAAAACGCACGCAGCGATGTGCCCCTCCTGGTCTCGGCGGCGCTTGAGCTGCACTTGCAATGGCTGCTGCAAGGCGCAGCTCACGGTCCATGCTGGCATCCTGCTCGCGTTGAGGTCCTGCCACTGCGCGAACAATTGACCACCGAGAATGCTTGAGATAGAGCAGAAGTTGTCAAATGGATT